TGTCTCTTCTGGGTAGCTCGTTTGGGTACTAGTACCTCTCTGCAGTTTGTGGGGCCAAGTGTCTCCAATCGTACGAAGCTGACAAATATCTGGGTTTTGGGTACTCCACCTGCCCATGGCCTGAGTTCAGTCCAACAACGTGGACTGGTTCCTGCTGAGTTTGGTAGAAGATTCCCTCCTCCGGAAGCCTGTGAGGCTGATTATTGTAGTCTCTTGGCCAGGGTTCTCTGTGTTGCCATGTAGGCATGGAAGGAAGGCCAACACATCTACCACTCTCTCCACCCCAGGCATGTAAGCCTTCCCAGTTTTGCGTGAGAACTTGGTAGGATGCAGCTTGTTGCTGCATAATGTTTGCGGCATTCCTTTGATGATTTTGCTGGGAACCTCTTTGCATGGTAAGTGTTGGGTTCAGAGGGAAGTCCCCTGGGGCTGATTGGCATGGGCCTTGGTGGTGACTACTCGGCACTACCATTCCCTGATTCTGCTGCATATGGCTCTGATGAACTCGACTCTCTTGTGTGTTGGGCTGAACAACGGCTTGTCTTCGCGCTGCTTGTGGACGTTCCTGAGTCCTAGCCCCTTCGCTATTCCCACCCGCATCTTCATTCGACTGTCCTTCCCCTCGCTCCCGATTCAGTAGGAATTCCCGGTACCTAGCTTTGTGCCCTCCTTGTCTTTCTCCGTTGTGGCTTCGGCCTTCTTCCCTCTGTCCGCGGGGGCAGTTCTCCTCCGTGTGGTAGTACCATATACACCTACGACACCAGTCTGTGTACGGGGAGGCTATTTCTACAGTCCAGCGCTCGCCCTTCGGCGACTGTATCACCAGTTCGTCGTCTATGCGGGCTCGTGAATCCGGCGACATCTCCAGCTTTAATTCATGAGTTTTGACCTGTCTCGGTCATATTCCGGGTTGTGCATTGCCAGCACTTCGCCGAACATGCCTTTGACTGCGCTCCACAGGTAGTAGTAGGCCTCTAATGGGACCCTCAAGGCCATGATCCAGAACTTAGTTTTAGCTTCCTAAATGTGGACTTCCTGCATCTCCAACTTGGAGAGTCATGGCTTGAACAGGACTGAGTACTCCTTGCGTTCCAACGTGATCTTCATTTCACCTTGCTGCAATAACCAATTTGCGATTTCCTTCGCCTTAGAAACGTATGATGCAACATTCGGCCCTTCAAATTTCACCCGGCCTCTCCGGGTTTCAGGTGGGAACAGACGTCTGGCTGTCCAGCCGTCCTCAAAAGCCCGAATCAAATCTTATTTCACTGCACGTGGCAGGTTACGAGTTTCCCCCTGAAAGATGATAAGGACCGTTCGTTCTTTCAGGAATTGATCTTTTACCTCATTTTTTTACCAGTTGATTGACCACGAACCTCCTTCTCTCCTCGTCCTCTACCACTTCTCCCAAGTTTATGTCTTCCGGACAGATCCCCTCATCGTAGCATCTGCTGACAGAGTCCCGAAGTCTGGTTCGGTCCTCCTCTAGTGTGGGGAGGTTTGGATGCGTTGCTGGGGTTGGTCCCCGGTTGATGTCCATGTTGTTCTGCAACCACTTTACTTCTGCTGAATGAAGGGGAGGATTGGTAAGGAGACTGTTACTTCGCCCCTGGCTCCTCCTTCCACTTCCTCTAATGTTACCTGTTGGATCTACATGATGCCTCTCCTCTGTTTACTTGAGTGAGTGGTACTCTGTAATATTTCGATTATATTTTTATCAGAGTAGATACCTACAAGCTCAGAGGAGTGTGAGTAGATACCATCAACTGCAGAGGTGGTGCTTTGATAGTTGTCAGGTTCAGCAGGGCCCGGTTGTTCCCCTCCCAACAACTACTATGTCTTGTTTCCGATAATTCGCCAAGTTCCACAGAGTCTCCTATCTGCGGACCAGACCTTACTGTCCGAGCTCATCTAGGCACCCCTGCCCCTAATTCCACAGCCTTCTACTCTTCTCGATACTTCGCGCAAAAACTTCGGGCTGAGGAAGCCAACTCGCCTCGATTTGCTTGAATACGTTCGTCATGTACGATCCGACTCTGTCAATCCAGCATGATTCTCGTACCGAGTAGATCGCTTATGTGGCCTAATTCCCCCGCCGTAAATCCCACGATACTTTTCGATCCCAAATTACACTTTCTCTGCCCTCGTGTGGTTGTGTATCACTTCGGCGCGGTAGATCCCACCCGAGCAGGGTAATTTCCAACTACCTGATAGACTGTGTGGAGGGTTATCCCCTTTTGCCTCACCTCCGGGAGATGTAAACGTAACAGCGGTGTGAAACCGCTCCTCATACCGAGCAGTGAAGGACGTAACTACGCCAGGGCTACTCTTTTACTGCCTCACCTCCGATGGGTGTAGTCGTAACAGCGGAGTGAGACCGCACTCTTCATGCCCATCAGCGAAACAGTAACTTCGATGCACAGTAGATACTCTTATACTGCCCTAGCATGGCTATGCCTTGCTCCAGCGTGATGAAATTTACCTGGACAGGGTAAAACACTCGACTTCACCCTATCCAACCTGTAGGAACGCTCTCCTCATCCCAGCCATCGGGATGCGTACCCTAGAGAAGAAAAGGCTGTGCATTCATTCGGCGTGGTAATTCCCCTTCGGGTAGGGTAAATCTCGATTACACTAATATCTAACTTGTGAAACCAAACGCCTCCTACCCATCTGTGAATTTGACAACGATGTGTAAGAGATTCACTTTTACTGCCCTGGCATGGCTATGCTCTCTAGCACGGTAAAACTCACCCAGGCATGGTAAAACTCGCGACTTCACTATTATATAACTTGTGAGAACACACACCTCATCCCCAACCTCCAGGAGCGAACTTGGTCGCGCCGCGTTGGAGTATCATACTCCTATCCTATAAGAGCTATGGACTACCTGGGCAGCGTAAGTGCAAACTCGGGCATAGCCCCACCCCGATGAGGAGGTGTGCACGCGCATTCCGATCTCCGTCGCGATGGCGAAGGTGTCGGCCAGGCAGTGCCGCTTGCGCTAACCGTCGACGGCGATAAAGTTACCGGAGCGCTGCGCTATGCCGCCCGGTAACGCCGCTCCTCTCGCCCCCCGGGCCGTAGTCCGAAGACGATTTGTGAAACCCCACTGCTTTGCGACAAAGCTTTGGAAAACGCTAAGATATGACATGGCAGACATTTTCACTCAGTTTTATTTTGCCTGTCCCTGCGGTTCGGCCATTTTGAGGGAGTAGGGGGGGGTCACCTCCCTCGGTTTGGCCATCCCATGTGGAAAGGAGAGCTAGGGATTGGGTGAGAACCCAGAGAAGCGGACGTGAAGTTTCCATATAAGGAAAGTTTTCCCTATCCGGTAACTGACATCAACGGAACTGCCGCAAATTTGTGCGGCAGTCTAGTCTGCTTTTCTCTTTCCCACCGCCCGGGCCTACGATTTGGGTTTGGCGGAAGCTTTCCGCCTGGAAAGCTTCCGCTAGGCAGTGGGGTCCACCTCTTAGGGTCTCCTTAGACACTCCTAAAAGTGCCGCTTTTTAGGAATGCAGCGCGGTTACACGCATTCCTAAATCCGAATTTGAGAATGAAAATGTGAAAACGGTATTAGGAGTTGGGGTCTCGTTAGACACTCCTAAAAAAATCCTAAGATTTTTAGGACGACTCCTAAAGGATTTTTAGGATTTCGTGCGGCGTCGTTACACGTAATCCTAAAAATCATCTTTTAGGATTCGTTCTAAAAGGTCTCCCGCGTCCGGTTTTCATATGCGTATACACAGCCGCGTCGCCAATGTCCGTCTATTCCTGGCTGGTGTCCGTGGTACACACTACGGTGGGCCGTCGGCGGGTGAGGACGGGTCATAACCGTTGCCCGCGTCGACCCGCAGAAAACCTCCGATGTCCAACCACTGACCCGACGGACCGCTTCCGCACCAGCAACTCCGTGTCGACGGTGCCATGCGCGCGACGCAACGAGTCCATGAAACGCAGAATCCTAAATTTTTCAGTAGGTCAGGGGCTACTCAAAATTGGAGTTAGGATTGCATGCAACCAAGACACAATCCTAAAAACAAACACTTTTAGGAGTGTATAACGAGACCCTAGTCCTAAATACTTTAGGAATCCCTAGGCAAAAGATTTTTTTTTTTTTTTTTTTTTTAATTCCTAAAATTTTGACCTCCTCCCGAGCATCTAAAATTTTTAGGAAACCGCATTTCACGGAGTCTTGGTGACGCGCGCATGGCACCGCTGTCTTGGAGTCCGTGGTGCAGAAGTTGTTCGTCAGGCCAAGGATCGGACATCGGAGGCCTTCGGTGGCCAGATGGAGGCAACGGCCACCACCGGTAACCGTTGACGGGCGAGGTGGACCATGGATGGCAAGCGGGGGTGCCCTCTCGTCCGTAACCGACCATTAGCTTGTAAAGAAATGCAGAGGAGGGCGACGACGCACGCAACAAGAGAAGTGCCATATGGACCTGCAGTAGAATCTATTGGCATGAAGGAGTCTATTTTGTCCTTTGTGTGTCCGAAGCATTGCATCCGAAGCGAACATTCATGGCAGACGTGTATCGGAGGTTGCGCTATCCTCGTTTTCTTGTTTGTCGTCTTTCTCCACGCGTGCTTGGCGTTCCAGCCGTTCAAGCAACACCACAAACGACGCGTGTCCACGAAACGGCCTTCCGCAGAACGAGCAATGGCGAACTTCCACGTCAGCAGACAAGCAACGACACGTCATGGTGGAGGACAATCAGGCACGACGGTCCATCGACGGCGGTACAACCCATCTTTGTACAACCATCTACCTCCACACGAGCAACCTCTGCCCCCGTTGGACGAGGAATAGGAAACGGACGAACTCGGAACGCTACCTTTGGGTAGTGGGTCGACGCACATGTGGTCGCAAACGCTGACAGCTGGCCCGGGTGGAACGAAGGTGACGAGTTCACGTCCCTCCTGCGGCAAGGGTTGCAAGATGACGACGACGGGCAGGTCGATCTGAGGTTTGGCTTGTCGTCCGGCGGTGCGACGCCAGTGACCGATACGTTCATCATCAACCCCGAGCCTTCGTCGGGTATCCGTCAATGTCCTCGAAGTGCGCATACCGAGAACCGCCACTTGCATGCGTTGCGTCCATCAATGTCGGTGTCGGGGCGTCATCCTCTGACCGCCATCAGGGCAAGAATGTGATGACCGCCCAAGGTAGTAGAGACAGTTGTCCTCCCCCTGCCGGATTCGCAACAGGGCTCGTGCGCATTGACAGTGATCGTCTTCCGATGTCTAACCAGACAACGACGACGCAGGCCGACGTGAGGGACGACACCGGTTGTAAATCACCATTGTGTCACCGAGCTGGCATGGAGAACATCACTCGTGGAGTGTCTAACATGTGGGCACACAATGATGGTGGCATTGGTGATGCGGCATACCGCGATGACGACAACGATGGAGACACGAAGGACATCGAAGTAGGGGATGACGATGGGAACATCGATATTTGGTCGTTGGGAAAGAGGGCAGGGAGGGCAAAAGGGCGAGGGAGAGGCGGTGGTCGAGGTCGATCCGGTGGCCGGGGTGGCAGAGGCGGCGCATCCAAGGACGGTGCCAAATCGGCAACGTATAGGACAACGAAGGAGCAAATGCTCCTCGTCAGATGCAAGCGGGAGCAAGACATGCACATGGCTGGGATGGGCCACAATTACGGTCGGATGCGAACGAGGGACTGGAAGTGGGAGGACATAGCAAAACAGCTGGCCGCGTTGGGGACGGTGAAAGACGCCAACGATTGCTTCCGGAAATGGGACAATCTCTTCCATAACTACAATAGTCAAACTGCCAAATGAACCCCACCCATCTTCCCACGGTGGAGTCTATAGGCTTGTAATTTTTTAGAGCCCCTGCGACGTTTGTCGGATCTATTCTTAAGATGAACCTCCTCCCAAAGAGGTAGGCTTGGAATGTCTTAAGGCAGTGGAGAACGACCAGCACTTCTTTCTTGAATTGAGAGTAACGACGCTCAACTGAGTTCAGCGTCCTACACCCGCATCCGATTGGTCGTTCCCTTCCATCTTCCCCTCTTTGGATCAGAACTCCTCCCACGGCTAATGGTCCCTCATCGGTCTCAAGCACAAACGGACGCCCTACCTAATCCTTAAAGCATGGAGCGACAAGGGTGACCTGTTTATATGTCAATATGCCTTTCAAGGTTTGGACGACGCATGCTCGTTCCTCCATCCAATCGAGCGTGCCCTCATCACGGATCATGGCCCGAATAGGTTCGGCTATCTTTGTGAATCATTTGATGAAAATCCTCCAAAATTCCACAACCCCTAGAAAGACCCTTACCTCTGTTGTGGTTCGCAAGGGCGTTAACCATTGAGAGATTTTGTCAGTCTTGGCCAGATCGGGCTTCCTCTCCCATATGACCCGCAGCGAAATCCTAGGATGGTTACTTCCGGCACTGCCAAGATGCGCTTGGGGCCGCTAGTAGTGATGTTGTATTCCAAGAACCTGCAGAGAAGCTTTTTGATATCATGCAGATGATCTCACACAAACCTCTGTATCCCTGACTGAATTGAGAGTAGCACTTCTTTCTTGAATTGAGAGTAGCGACGCTCGACTGAGTTCAGCGTCCTACACCCGCATCCGATTGGTCGTTCCCTTCCATCTTCCCCTCTTTGGATCAAAACTCCTCCCGTGGCTAATGGTCCCTCATCGGTCTCAAGCACAAACGGACGCCCTACCTCATCGTTAAAGCATGGAGCGACAAAGGTGACCTGTTCAGATGTCAATATGCCTTTCAAGGTTTGGACGGTGCATTCTCGTTCCTCCGTCCAATCGAGCGTGCCCTCATCACGGATCATGGCCCGAATAGGTTCGGGTATCTTTGCAAATCCTTTGATGAAAATCCTCCAAAATTCTACAATCCCTAGAAAAACCCTTACCTCTGTTGTGGTTCGCAGGGGCGTTAGCCATTGAGAGATTTTGTCCGTCTTGGCCAGATTGGGCTTCCTCTCCCATATGACCCGCAGCGAAATCCTAGGATGGTTACTTTCGGCAGTGTCAGGATGCTCTTGGGGCTGCTAGCAGTGATGTTCTATTCAAAGAACCTGCGGAGAAGCTTTTTGATATCCTGCAGATGATCTCACACAAACCTTCGTATCCTTGACTGAATTTTCGTTTCATCATTGTCCCGTGTGCCTTTGATTGGATTGTCGTGAATATACGGTTCGCATTTTGTGGGGAACATATCTCCCGCAACTGCGAGCATCCTTCTTTGTGTTTCTGCCACAGCAATGGTGAAACCTATAGGAGTCGCTTGCATTTGTTATTGACCTACCGGGGTATGCATAGCCGTGTAGGGTCTATTCCGGGCGTCCAACGAGAGCTGATCGTATCCAGAACAGAGGTCTACCAATGAGTAAATGTTTCGCTCGGCGTGAGATTCTGCCAGCAGGTCTGCTTGAGGCAATGATCCCTCGTCCCGGATGGTGACAACATTTAATTTCTGCAGATCTTGGATCCACCTAAGCGACTTGTT